AACACGACCTGCGAGTTTATTAAACGGCTTCAAACACGACTACAAATTCAATAGATATACTGCCTTATTAGTATTCTTTATATAAAGAATACTAATGATGACACGACTACAATAGTTACTACCTTATTAGTATTCTTTATATAAAGAATACTAATTAGAAGTGTTTTATCAGGTTTAAAGCCACTGCACGTGACATATTATGGTTGACATGATTTGCCAATAAGCTTATGAATTATTAATGAGTGTTTGAATTTGATTTTATCCTCTAGATAGACTAAGATAGTGCTATAGTAGGGTTTAATTGAGCTAATGAGGTGAGGGTCCAGCATGACGTCCGCGTTCCCAGATTCAGTCTGGGCGCGAGAGTCGAAATTTTCATAACACTATGCACTGCTTTGCTCAGGTGTGAGTTGTGTAACATCCGTAAAGTTTACATATCGTCTCGAAAATTGTACCAAACGCTCTAACTCTACTTATTGTCTCAATTCCGTTTTTGCAGTGAATGTGAATGAAAGCCTTGGTTCTAAATTAGAGCATTCTGTTAACGTAAGATTTCGATATTGTGAAAGTCGCATTGATTACATGGGAACGTGTATCCTTATGGGAAATGTGTCAGCATTTCGTATCTCAATGTCTGATGATTGGAAAACAAATCTTGCTAAATGCCCGTCTTCAGGTAAGATAACATCATTGTGGTATGTTAATGAGTTGATGTGGTGAAATAATTAAATATACGTAAGTAGTAAGTGCGCGTGTGGGACTGCCAATAAATATCGTGATCCTTTGCGTACATATATTTTTAAGTACAGTATTTCGTGCAAAGATACTGCAGTCAACTAAAGTTGAATAATAAACTTTTATAAGGCATTATCGTAAGATTAGTAGGCCAACGTCTTGACCGCTGGATTCAGTTTTATATGAAACAAAATATTCAATACATTGGGTGAAATTACCAAGACGCTACACCATGAAAATAACTTTATTTTTTAGATGACTTATTCAAAGACAGTACATGTGGCACAGAACATACCAAAGCTACAGTATATCTTCATGGTACTCTACATTGGAAGAACTTGGGCCTAGTGATATGTCGCTCAACTACAAGTGATCTTATAAAAATGGCTAACAAGATAACAACGTTCTTCACTGAACAAGCAAGTAGCAGTGTAAGGATGTTATCAAGTGTCAATTATCTTCCACCATTAGATGGTGATGCTGTATCTTCTCTTGCTAATCCACTCAGTACACAATCTGTACAGAAGAATGAGAAAGAGCAGAATAAAGATGGTACGTATTGGCTTGTTTTGTATCCATGACCTATAGCAAAGAAACCTCAATACCATGGTCCTTGGTATAACCTGTGGTATAACCAATGGTTTCATAAATATCAAGTTCACAACTAGGAAGATGTACGAACAATAGAAAACGTAACGGCTG